AAAAAATCAGAAGCCAAAAGGAGACGTCTTCAGTGAGCCTAATCAAAACAAGTAGAACCACAAAACTTGGTGCTTTGGTACACAATAGACTAGAACATAGAAAGTGACAGATTTGGTATTATGGATATTATGGACTAGAGTTATTTAGCTAACAATAGTTCCTAGTCTATGACTTAATTTTTGTATTAGAAAACCTTAACTATGAAACATATACTCGGCTTCTTGCTGGCTTATACAATACCACAACCTTGTATTGGGAAATAAAAAAAGAGAGTCACTTAATGTATTGTAAGTAGTATGAGATGTATTCACCCAATTTCGTTTAAGGTGATGAAGGACTGGTAGTAAAATTTTGCCACAATCATATGAGTAGAGCTAACGTTTCCATTGAATTTCACAGAGCCTTTTTTTCCTAAAGTTGTTTGGTGGTCTGCGGCTTTCACTGCTGCGTTTTATTAAAACCTATTCTTTTTATTATTGCTATGGAGACTTTCATTTCGTATGAATGGGCAAGATGATGTTTAGCTCTTTTGTGATTAGTCTGAGGTATAGTTGGTATTGCATAATCTGACTTACCTGCGTACAGATGTTAACACAAGCACATACACACATATACACACTCCCTCAAGCATAATTACCCTGATTAATCTGATCCATCTATAACTATATATTTTCGTTGTTGGATATAAGTATATGTAGGATGTATGATAGAACAAGATACTTTTCTAGATTTAGTGTTGACTTAAGTCTTTATACCATATTCGTCAATTGGCATAGAGGATAAAGGATTAGCCCATTCTAACCCGAAACAAGGAAAGATGTCTCGTGGACTACGTCGACTTGAACTTGGCGGCAACGCCAGACGATTTTATAAAAACTGGTAAAGCTCGACTAAAAAATCTCTTTATTTTGCACTTTCATATGAAACGAAAATCTCCTCAACAATACTATCTCAAGAGATTCATCGAGACCCGGCCACTTTTCATAAATTATTATTAATGTTATTATTATTATTTGATATTATGTATAGGAAACATCACTTTATGTCCTTTTAATATTCATTATTTATTAATATTTATTCATATTTAATTGGTGAAGCACTTCCGTTCTTCCTTTCAGACGAAATGAAGGGTACCACTAGAGCAACACCTCAGACCGACCTCACCTGTTGGTGTTCGTCAGACTGCAGATGGACAAACAAATCGACGAGTCGACTAAACAACCGGTTGCCTTGCCCAACAGCGCCACAACACACTCGACAGACGTAGGCCAACGAAACAGCCGGCCAGGCCGTAGTCGGCAGTCCGGCCTCGAAAGCCGCGGCCAACTTAACCGTCTGTGCCGGAGTCTCTTCGTCCATTTCGGCCTGCCAAACCGGACGTTTCCAGTCTGGTGACGCAGACACCGCAGGAGGCAGAAGAGCCAGCGAACTCGGAGCCAGTTGGCAACGCCGACGTACAACATGCACGAAGAGCTCGGCCAGACTGCGATGCTCCATTGTCTGACAGTGAAGACGCAATTTGTGCACTGAAGTGGTGAAAAAGTTGCAGGGCAGACAGCGCAATTGGATGGCCGAGGCCAAACTGATGCCTACCGGCGACGAGGCACAATTGTTGGTTGCCAGGCCGACGGGGAGTCCGGTACCGGCCGGGGCGTTGGGGTAGGCCGAGCCGTTGGAATGCGCGGCGTGGGAGAGAATTGGAGGTACCGGTTTCCGGGTTCCGGGAGGATAAACCAGTTGGGGTAAGTGGATCGCTTCGTTTGGAGGCGCCGGTTTGACGAGGAATGGGCTTGGCGGAGTGACGAGCGAGGAGCCGAAAAAAAGACGTTTCTGGTTGTCTGATCCGCCCTCGTTGATGTGCAACAAAAGGCTCATCCTTTGTGCATGTTTCTCGGTCTTGCAGTGCAATTGGAAATTGGCCTTCAAAGGACTCTTGTAGGCGCAGAGCTGGCAGAACCAGAATGAGCCAGTGTGCAGTGTGATCTGAGCGTTGGCGCGATCCACATCAGACGGTGTCCGACTGGCCTCGGCATGCTCGATCAGCAGGTCGACTCGATCGGTGGCGAAGGCACAACAGACCTGGCAGATCAGTGGCTCGTGTGACCGCTCCATGAGATGAGCGATGATCGACTCGCTGCTAGTCGGCACGACGCGATAATTCATAATAAATCACAAATAAATGTATTAGTGCATAAAATTGTAAAGGCAAAATGAAGGCCATATCAAAAAATAATAACATTTAAAATGACGTATTGAGATGAATTCACCCAATTTCGTTTAAGGTGAT